GCTGGCTCAGGATGCCTTCAGGGCAGGTCTGGTAAAGTTTGAGGATCTGGGGATTGAACCACAGCATCCTGATTGCTTTGTTTAAGGTGTCACTGAAACAACTGAGCTAATGGGCAGCCCCCCCAACATATATAGATAAATCTCTTTCCCCTACTTCCTTTCCTGTAAAACTCTTTAATTTGAAAAGAGTGGGTATTTTGTCCCAGTGATTGGAAAATAAAATCATTCCAGTGATGACGATGGAGTGAAGTTCCAACACGTGTGTTTGTTATACATATTTCTTAACTTTGAACAGAAAGGGGAATGTGAGCCAATAACCAGTAAACATTGGTCAGCAGTGTTATACATTTTATGAATAAAGACAGATAGGTGCCAAAGATACAGGTGAAGAATGTTCAACATGAGGAAACAACAGTATATTTAAAATCAGAATGAGATGACAATACACATATTAATATAACTAAAGTTAGAATGATTGACCAAATCATCAGCACAAAAAAGAACAGATGAAGGCCTTCATGCACATTCACTGCCAAATACGGAGGACAAACCTGGGAAGGAACAGGAACGATCATAGTGTCTGGGGAACTGCAACAGACACAACCAGTTTAGACAACAATTTGGCAGTCTTTCAGCATGAAATACTCCCTAATCAGAAATTATTAAAATACTTTTCCATATAAGTAATTGTATTCCTGTGTTCTTTGTAGCTTTATCTGTTAACAGCCCTAAGTGGGAAACAACACACCCACCTATCCATTAATACAGATGAATAAACAAATAGTGGCATGTCCATACAGCATTAGACTATTCAGCAATGAAAAGAAAGTTTATGTAAGAATAATGAATCTAAAATTACTCACTGTGAAAAACAAAAAAGCAAATACTTTAGAATTCCATTCACATAAAGTTGTAAAAACACAAAATAATCTAGTGAAAGAAAGTAGATCACTGGACACCTGAAGGCCTGGCTAAGCCAGCAATATTGTACAGGAGCAAAAGACAGTTTCTCAGTATGTTGATCATAATAATGGCTTTATGTGTATGGCAGATCCTTCCAAGTTATACATTTTAAATATGTCCAGGTTATATTAGT